ATTTTTAATTTTTAACCTCAAGCTATATATTGAATGGTTCTTTTATAACAATACTAATATTAAATACAGTAAAGAGGTGTATGCTTTCATGTATATTGCCTCACTTGATATAACAATCTCATGAGATAGAAAGGTAGAGCAAGATAGAATCCATTTTAAAGATGTGGACGTTGAAGCTAAGAGTAGTCTCAAAAGATTTCACAGTGGAAAAGCATGTTATTACATAGACATAGAGAACAGACTTGTGGACACAGTAGGGGAAGGAGACGGCGGGATGAATTGAGAGAGGAGCATTGAAACATAGATTACCATATGTAAAATTAGGTAGCCAGTGAAAATTTGCTATATGATACAGGGAGCTCAAATCAGGTGCTCTGTGACCTAGAGGGGTGGGTTGGGGTGGGAGGTGGGAAGTAAGTTCAAGAGGGAGGGTACATATGTATACCTATGGCTGATTCATGTTGTTAAATGGCAAAAACCAATACAATATTATAAAGCAATTATCCCCCAATTAAAAATAATTTTTAAAAACATGTCAGATAGTGAAATCAAGACTGTCAGTTATCAGACAGTCCTGTCACCAAGTCAGAGTTATGTATCCAGTACCCTCTATTTTCCTGATAAAATAATGATTTCAAATGATGAGTTTGCATATCATGCATATCATACCCTGTGAATCCTGGAGTGGCTTGTAAGAACCAGAACCTAATTTCAGAATACTATTAACACCTTCTCAAATGTCTTTCTTTCTCTTTCTGGTGATGTGTTGAATTAATATTCACATCTAGAATTACTATTATTTGATTTGTAGGGTCATAGGAGCACCATCATCACAAGGCTTCCTTTAATTAAAATAAAAGAGTCACATACTCCTCTAGTAGTGTTACCTACCCTCAGCTGGGTTCTCCAGGCTGAAGGAAAGGCTTCTCAGTTTCTAAGTCTGTCTTAGCCCATCCCTCTTTTCTTCCTAACAGATATCCTAAATCTTCACCACTCTCACTTCCTAACCCACCATCTTATCACCACTGTAAGCAAGCCAGGCTTCTTTGTTCACCCGAAGGAAGTGTTTCAACTTCCTCCCTGCCCTGACCTTTTCTCCCTTTCCACATCTAGCTGAATCTCCTGCATCAAATTTATGACCACTCCCTGTGCCTTGTTCTCCATTTCTGCCTGACTTTTTAGGTGCCTCAGGTCCTCAGAAATACCCTATCTTGCCTGTGTCCTCAATTTCTCTCTCTCTGTCTCTTTTTTCCTTCTAACACTTCTTCCTGTCACCTGGCCCTCTTCCTTTAGGGTACATGTGTGCGCAGGCCTCTTCCACCTTCCTTCTGCCTCATCTTACCACGCGTTGCCTGGAACTATCACAGCTAACCTGTGACAGAGTAGCCTACACACAGTGTCCCCACTTCCTTGACATCCCGTTCACTCTTGGTTTTCCTTCTGATCCATGTAAGCAGCACTTAGCAGACTCCTTTGCAGGCTTTTCTTGCAGGAATTTATTTTTCCAGCTTCCCACATGCACCCCAGTAAATTACTCTCAGTTTTCCCAAACCTCTTTGCATTCACTTCTGCCTGGAACATCTTTATACTTTTATATCTTTTTTTAAAAAATATTTATCTTATTTATTTACTTGTTTGGCTGTGCCAGGTCTTAGTTACAGCATGTGGGATCTAGTTCCCTGACCAGGGATTGAACCTGGGCTACCTGTATGGGGAGCACAGTCTTAGCCACTGGACTAAGGGAAGTCCCTTATACTTTTATACCTTTATACTCACATGTTTTAAGACTCAGATGAGCTTTCAGCATCCATGGAATCTTTGCTTAAGCCACAGAATGAGCTTGGTTCTGTTTTCATTTTCTTGTGTCATCCTCTGCTTCTCTTTGCTCTTCTACACATATTACATATAGTACCTCATTTAATCCCTCCAACTGTTTGAGGCAAGTACTATTATTCCAGTTATACACATGAAACAACTGAGCTCCGAGTACATTAAGTTACTTTGTTATAGAGCGATTAAGTGAAAAGTCTAGGTTTGAACCCAGGCATTCTAACTCAAGCCCCATATATTTAACATCTTTCCTCCTCCTGCCACACTCACTGCTCTACCCTTAACCTCTGAGCTTGTTGAATGAGCATTCATTTTTAGAGATGAGTAATCGTGAAGAAAACAAAAATGATCAGAATTGAGACAGAATTTTTATTTCATAGTGTAGATTTTCAAAACTGCCAACAGCACAAACCTAAAGAAAGCCATGTCATTCTTAGGGAAGAGAAGGAAGTTTGAGAAGGGTAATAACAGCAACCAACAAACTTTAGAATTTCTGAAGCTCTTTGACATGTATCATCTTATTTTATCAATCCATAAAATATGACTCCATTTTACACATGGGGAGTCTGAGACTAGCATAACCAGCACCAGGACCCTGGGTTTTATATTTATTTCTTCTGAGATTTTTCCCCTCATGTCTGATCTAATATACATGAGTAAACTGAGAGTTTGGTGGTTCTTTAAAAGAAAACTAGGCAATCTTTCGTACTATTATGGGCTTCCCTGGTGGCTCAGCGGTTAAAGCCCCTGCCTGCAGTGTGGGAGACCCAGGTTCGATCCCTGAGTCAGGAAGATCCCCTGGAGAAGGAAATGGCAACCCACTCCAGTATTCTTGCCTGGAGAATTCCATTGCTGGAGGAGCCTGGTAGGTACAGTCCATGGGGTTGCAAAGAGTTGGAAATGACTAAGTGATTTATACAAGATTTCTGACTGAGTGTGGGGTTGATTTTTAGAACAAAGGGGCCACACTCAAGGATGCCATAGTCTTTAGCCAACTCTACTGTAAGTGTTGAAGCTAGTGCATCCATGTCTACAGCCTGCTCTTGAAGAAAATCAACTTCTATGTCTATACATAATGCATCCAGTGGATTTTTTTATACTGTTCTATCGCCCATTTCCTTCATCAATAGTCTGATATGTTGCATGAGAGTTTAAAGAGTTCCTGATGTAGGAATCTATAGTTGAATTTTAGAGGAATTTCTGAATTCCCTAAAAGTTATATGTCCCAGCGAACACACTTTTTAAATAAAATTGCATATTTTATTTTTGGAGCAGAAGGTATATATAGCTTTCAACAGGTTCTCCAAAGGGCCTATTCTCCCTGCCCTAAGATTAAGAACCATTATTTTAATGATGAGAACTAATTTTAAAAGCCAGATATGTTACAAGGGAAATCTGTCCCCTCCATCTCATTACCACAACCGCTGTTTTCCCCTCCCCCATCATACAATACCTTAAGCTACATTAGAAGACTTTTTACATTATGTGCTACCACAGTTTGAATTTTCCACATCATTGTTGCTCTAGTAATTGAGCCATGCCTGGAGGAAAATATAAATAACACAGTGATGCATTGTGGATTTTATAATGGATTTGACATCCCATAAGTGTTTTAATTGGCATTATTTAAAACTTCGTGTTGCCTAAGCTAACACTGAAAGTATAGTCAGTTTTTCTGGATCTTCAACAGGAGTCAAGTAGGAATTGAAATATAACTTTTAAAACAGAGCTGGGTTATCTAGCAGACAGATTAAGCATTAACTTTTCATTAAATATGTCAGTTGTTGGAAGATGGCCATCATTGTTCCAGTGATTAAGGTTTTCTTGTCTGTCCTTTTATATGTAATATTGATAATTCTACCCAAACCATTTCCTTCTTTGTCTCCTAGATTGCAAGAAAATCTTCAAAATGAATAATTTAAGAGCTAACAGGCATTAACTTAGGATGTGTGATACTGTTCTAAATGCTTATGTGTGTATCAATTCATTTAAAACTCAAAACAGTCCTAGGAAGTAGGGACGACTCTTACCCCCCCCCACCCCCCATTTTATAACTAAGAAAAGTGTAAGGTTTTTCTAATAGGAAGCAAAGGTGGACAGAAGTGGCACCAAGACAGTGTGTGAGCCTGCTTTCTGAATCATCTCTGAATGCAGCCCAGTCCCTAGCGTAATGAGCATGTTTTCTGGTGTAGGAGGAATTATTGAGAACAGAGCCTGTTAAGCCCAGGGACACCCTTGCCACTTTCCTATCTGTTTTTAGGTGGAAATCTCCACCATCCCTTTTAAATTGACCTCATCTGCTTGGAGCCAGCCCGTATGCTGGGCACTAGTACCAGGCATTGTGCAAGCCTAGGAAACGCTCTCCCCGACATCCGTTTTACATGTGCGTGGAGGGAGGGAGGCACAGGCTGGCGTGTGAGCCAGCTCTCCAGAAGGGACGTCTGAGCCAGAATTTCTGGCACAATTGAGCCCGCGCTCGAAAACCAGGTGCTGAGCGTTGGAGGGGGAATGTGTCCTCTCCGAGAAGGAAAGCCTCATGGTGGAATGGCTGATACCTATCCTGGGCTCTCAGCGCCAGGACAAGCTGGCTGCTGCTTCTGATTAAAAGAGGAAGCAACACTTCGCCTATGACACCAAACACAGTGGTTCGAACTTGGCAGTTAGGAGTCCTGTGCAGTTGTCTCCTGCCACGCAGGGTGTATACGCGAGGAATTTTCACTTGGCTGGAGTGAACTCGCTCGGAGCCGCGCCTGCGCCTCAGAAGGGAGTCGGGGCCCGCTGCGCGCTGAGACCCGCCGCGAGGACGCGGGGAGGGGGCAGGGAGGAGGGCCCAGGGCGCCCTCCTTTCGCGGTCCCGCCGCGCTCCCGGAGCTGAGAGCTTCCGGCCGGTGCCTCGGGTCGCGTGGGCGGCGGACCTGTACCGAGGAGGCGCGGCGCGGGGGGACTTCAGAGATGTTTCATTGGTTGGGAGCAAAGGGCGCCTCCTGGAACAGCGCGTGGAGGGCGCTCCGCGGGTGGAAAGACTCCTCGGGAGGAGTCGAGGGGCCGAGTCTGGGGGCCGCTTCCGCCAGCCCGGGAGGAGGAGAGAGGAGGGGCTGGCTGCTCACGAGCTGCCTGGGCGGGCCGCCCGCGCTCGACGCAGGCGGGAGGAAGGGAGGGAGAGAGGGGCGCGCGTTGGGGAGCAGCATGGAGACCTCGGCCGACTCGCTGGCCGCCGCCGCCGCGCGGGGCCGGGCTGACGAGGTGCGGGCGCTGCTTGAGGCGGGGGTGTCGGCCAACGCGCCGAACCGTTACGGTCGAAGCGCGATTCAGGTGGGTCAGCAGGTCTGCGGCGGAAAGGTGGGCGGGTGGGGGGCGCGGAGGATGGCGAGAGGCTTTGGAGGACGAGGTCCGCCAGTGAGTCGGAACCAAGTAAGGGTTTCTTGGTGAAGGGGAGACTTTTCAGACCGAGTTCGGGATCGGAGACCTCTCAGGGGACTAAGCCCCCCCACCCCGCGGAGTTGGCTGAGAAGGCGCGTGGGGTTCAGATCTCTAAAATGGTGTGAAGATCTAGAGGGGGAGAACCTATGTATGTTAATATAGACCGAGATGAGAAATCGACGAACGTCTGGACTACGAGCATAAAGACATGTAAGACTTGCTGGACCTCTTACCCCCGAACTTAAAGAATTGTGAATGCAGCTGACCGACTTCTTTGTTGGGGGGGGGGG